CAGTGGCTATGGATGAAGTCACAGGCGATATTCAGCCAGCGCCGGTCATCCTTGCTTTTAAGAGTGTCCTTGCTGTACTTCTCCCAAGACACACTGGTTGTTCTGGAAATTCTCATATAATTAATATTTTTTCTCCTATTATCACAATTCAAAGGCATTAATTGTTCTTCAGTCTTCTTCACTCATTATCCAACTTTCATATGGATATGAGGCAATTGAAAATACCAGGTCTTTGGTCAGTTGTACTTTAGTTCTCAAAGTGACATCCTTGCTCTTTAGCACTTTAAAGGGTCTTTAGCAGCAGATTTTCCTATTGCAGTACGTGTTTTGATTTCTTAACTGCTGCTTCCTAAAAAAAAAAAATAAAAAAAAATCCATAATTCATAAGTGATGGAACAAAACTAAAAGAGAATACTGGAATTTTAGGCTTAAATATTTTCGTAGTAAAAATCTTACACATATATTTTTCTTTTAGGTTGGGTGTTGAAGACAAAGACTTATTTTAGTAGAAATTCTCCTGTATTACTGCTTGGAAAATGTTACCATTTTAAATATGAAGGTAAGTGCTAATTTTGTGAACCATTGAAAATTCTTTGTGAGCTTTTATTATGTAATTTCCTAATCTTTAGGTTATTAATTTTTGGTATATTTCCTTTAACTACCTGTATTTTATACAAAAAAATAAAATACAGCACATATAATATGACAGTTTAAATCGTTCAGTTCTCCCTTGCTTTGTTTAGGTAATCACTTCTTGGTCTAGGTATAGGTTTTGTGTGAGCATAATTAAGTATTCTGGGATTCTCATTCTTCTTGATGTTATCCATGTTGTTGTTGTTGTTGTTGTTATGTGCTGTCAAGTTGCTTGCGATTCATAGCGACTCTATGTACAACAGCCCTAAATTCTGCTGTCCTGTGCCAATAGCACTGTCTCCGACACACCCATCCTGATTATCCCAGTCACTGAATCAGTCCACCTCTTAGAGGGTCTTCCCCTCCTGTCCCTCCACCCTCCCAAGCATGATGTCC